GGACAGTACGACTTTACCCCCAGACCGCCTCGTAGCACGATTACTCGTAGTATGGGGTCTCGCTGCTCTTGGTCTGGCTGCTCCCTTTTGGCCTTCCTGACATGGTTGCACCTTGTGGAACGAAGTTCCAGCCAGTGTAGCCCACGGGATCGCTGCAGCACTGAAGCCCGACCACCACGTCAAGGTGGCAGCTTTAGGTCGGGTGCTCAAGTCTTGGGCTGCTTCTGAGGTCATCCCACACCTAGACCTAAACAGAGATCTTCCTACTGGATGTTTTCGCTCTTGGCAGATGGCGGACAATTGGTTGTTATCTGAAAAGTACACATGAAGGTGGTCGTGAAAACATGCTACGACTCCCACATCGCAAAATTACATTGGGTTCGCTCGTATAGTGGTGGCGAGCGGTGGACCAAGATTCGAACATCAGCTGCACCAGAAATAGACCGGAAGTGCAGGGGGATCGTATGGAAAGAGAAAGAGTATGATGGGGAGAGATGTACAACTAACTGTGCCGCGTTAATTCGGCTGTGAGTAACTATCCACGAGTCCAAAGCGTACCAAAGGAATGAAAAGAACTCCGCGTACCCTAACTTTCATCCAGCAGTTTCGCCGTGCGTCTACTGTTCACGAACTTCTCAATTCGACGTGGCATAGCCGTTATTCTGAGACAGCTGTTGTTATCAGCTTTCTGAGCTTTGGATGCGGCGTTCCGTTCATCTCATCACCATCATCATAGTGGATAGCAATATACCGCGAGTGGAAACTGGCGCTTAACTGCCTTACGACAGTGAAGGAGCTAGGTCCTATTGAAAGTTGCACCAAATTATTGGTAATTGCACAGTTCGCGGACGTGTGTGGGGTGAAACGCTGCCAGGACTCCCAAGCCTAGAGAATAGGAAAATTAAGGCCCGCAACCCAAGCATTTGATTTTAAAGCCTGACCACAAAGCACTAGTGGTTGGTGGGAGTACCAGAACACACCACACACATCACACAGACAATCGCCATTATGATCCAATGGGCCATGAAAGTGCAGGAACCACAACCTCTTCGTGAAGGACTTCTTCACATTAATTCACAAACCCAGATACTTTGAACACGCCGAAAATAATGCGCCAACAGTCACCGAAGATGTCGACGGATATATACAATCTGACACTTCAATCTCGACGGCTCGGGTACGTTAAGGAGCGTAATTTTCGTAGCCTCTATAATGTGCGGCCATTTTCCTACGAGCGGCAAAATCATTGACTTCCAGGAATTCCCCCTACCCGAGAGACAAGGTTACAGATCTGTTGCTCTACAGGAAAACACGATAGGGTCTTCGCCATCTTGTGTGGACTTGCTTTCCTCAGGTACTCCTAAGGCCGGCAGATCCACAGAATTGTACCAACTCTGTGCTTAAACCAGACGAACATCTGAGGCAGTGTACATCGTCGGTTCACGAGGAGAGCGGTAAAGTTTAGGGATAAGCGCATGCGGATAGCAGCTCATTTACAGTTTCAGAATATGGACATTCACTTAGATATCAATCTAGATGTTTGATTACTCCCGAGAAGTGTTCTGGTGAAAAACTGACAGTGGTTCGACCTTGGTCCATGGTGTTCTGTCCTGGGGTCTACAGTTGGACAGTAGCTCAGTGGTTGATGTTCACGCTCTTTTGGGGAAAGCAGATGGTCCTCAGGAAATGTTGCTAGACTTGCTGAACACTGGCGAAAGGAACGCCTTCATTTCGGTTTAGATTACTGAAGCGGCATAGTGTGGAGTCTAATTGGCGATTAGAGTTGGTTTTCTTCTTAGTTTGTAGCACAATAACAATTTGCGTATGATATTGGTTCTACATATCTACAAAGTGCAGTAAACCTTTGTCAGTAGAAACCCGACTTTACCATAAAGCTTCATGTTACTTCTGTGTGGGCTACCAAAACGAATATATGGAAACTACGGCACAATTAGCTGCTAAAGCAAATTTCTCGCCCATCTAGTGATTCTATCGAGACTACTGTACAAGATGAGTATCCATTCTATACAGTCATTCTGATTAACTAATTGCAAACTGAAGCATATCACCAGTAGTTCCTACTCCCAACTGAATACACATTTTTGTGAATTCATACGTAGCTACTCTCTTTCGTCGTCCATGATGGTGGCAGCTGAAACCACTGGAGTACGGTTGACAGTTGGCAAAGTGAATTAACTAGACGTATAGGTCTGCGTCAATCCAGGGAAACTGCTGAGAGTTGCTTAGCAGAACGATAGGGTGCGTGACCAACCTGTTGAACAAACTTGTTTGATGAACAAAACGAAACATCCCAGGTATCCTCGTTGCCCACAAAAAACAACCGGGACAAGAACTGAATTTTAGGCCGTCTACTGACGAGGCGGTATAACCTCGATACACAAAAATGACGAACAGCTTTAATGTGACCACGTTTTAGGTGAAGACCATGTTGTACTATACTTGACAAATGGCAAAACGACAACTTACGCCTTTCCACAACTGAGGCTGTAGGTATGACCTGGTGGTTGTCTGCATGGGCAGTGAGATTGGGATCCGACAAAGAACTCGTGATGTTGGATGGTCTTGTGCTGGAGGTTAAATCTTCCGTGGAGGACACTTTTAAAGGAATACACAGCCCAATACCGACAGCGAAAAGAAAGTAGAATTGGTGACCCATGAAGCAACTAGACACACGAGTATGTGGTTGTTCTATAACGTAATAGACCATTCTTCGAAGGGTATGCAAAGCCCGCTGAAATGGTCGATTGGAGGGGAATGAAGGTAACAACAATAAGAAAAAGCAAGATTAGTGGAACCTGGTAAGCCTATCAGGCCAGAAGAGCAGCCTACTGCAATAACAGGAAATTCGTAGCCAAGAACAGCTACTTCAATAGTTCACTTGAGAATAGGGAACTTCAGAATGTCCATTTTCTTCAAAACTTTCCAAAGATTATATTTCACTTCAGTCCATGTTGAAAAATTTTGAAGTGAATCTATACTAGCTTCAATGTATTCGTGTAAGCAGTGATACAGGGATTATCAAAGAGAGTGAGACTGTTGGCGTTAAAACACACGCGCAACGTTTGACCGGTGAGGATGACCCATAGTTTTTTTGCTCTTGGATACGAAGAGAGCTTCTCAATTGGTCGCTTATGTGGTGCACGGCAAGGTGCTTACCTGCAGTACCCCAATATCACCTCATATTGACTTCTAGTACCGATCGTATTTGCCCACATCATGATCAGAAGACTGAGCCGTTCGACTTGCACCTCTGAAGTTCGCGTTTTGCCGCTGTTTGTCACTTCAGCAGGTATGGCGCTGCTTGCATCCCTAATAAGACAAAACACACACTTACACAATATGGGTAGGTATAACGGGCCTGTGGTTATATGGTCACAATGCGAACCTTGTAGGAGCAGAACTGCGGTTTGAACACCACTATTGCAATTTCAGAACCAAGCAGCAAGTACCACATCCAGGACATTCATGAAAAGTGACACTACCCACTACACGCCACATAAACTGGCTAATTCGGCTCTCGTGTGGAAATACTGGTAGCTTGGATGAGGTTGGCTGTTGATCTGTCCACCACCAAACCGCACACTAACACTGTCTTCTCGCATAGTGAAGAAACGTTCGCAAGCCAATTGCCAGACCCGATACACAGATCAACTGCCGCCCGACCGACAGCCAAACTCGGCTCAGGTTTACCCACTGACCGAGGAACTTTTAAAGTGTACGGCGGCGTCAATGTTATTCAGAGAAACGGGACCACATAGTTACAATCACTACCAGTTTGTTCGCAGGGGTCGATAGCGATGCATATCATCACAGTTGGTACCGTATACTAGTGTATAATACTATTTGGTGTATTCTTGTAAATGGGTAACAAGCCGCCGAGACAGTTACTGGAAGTCCAAACGACCAACCATTCTCACATTGGCGTCTGTTCGTTTGTTTGCACTGCTCCATGGACTTATGTTGTACTTATACTGCGGATCAGCAGAAGCCAGGGTAACCTTCGTCAAATACAACCCGATGCGGACGTCTGTTCAAGGTGATTTATTACTTATGATAATAAGTCGTTCAGCAGTAACAACCTTTTGGTGAATGGCTGCGCAATCACCTGAATCGAGCACGAGGGCTGAGCCAGGTTGCCTAGGTCTAGACGGGAGCAGTCGAAATGCAGAGGTTGGATTCGAACTACGAATCTTGCAGTCGGTAAGTCTGCACCATAACCATTGAGATACCTCGAGCTCAAAGATATTGGCTCATGCCGACACCCCTCGCTTGCCATCAATTCGAACCGCTCACACCCAACCTGTGGCACACGACTACAAAGCTTGAGCGCCTACCTAAAAACGCATGGAACAGTCCAGTTTGCTGGCTGCCTGTAGCATTCCATTGATAGTTTCAAACCGTGTACTCAGATGCAACTTTGACATGTTTAGTACCGGCTACTGGATGCACAAAAGAGAATGTGTACGGTTGTCCAGAAGAACATCCTACTCGTAGAAACGAAATTTTAGACGCTCGGAATCTGCAGAAACAGGGTTCCCGACGATTATTTTAACTGCTAAATGAAGCCAGTAAACATGGCTGCTGCAAATACCATGGATTAAAATGTTCTCTGTCTAACAAGTATGCACCACTCAGCAACCCAAGTGTGTTAGAAATCAGACAATTATGCCTTACTCCCTGCGCCCTCGGGTCAAGTCAATCCCTGCTGCCAGATAAGTTGGACTATTGAGTCACTGGCCCCGGGATGGGTACCAAAAGGAAACTCCGACAACCGTTGCCTCATGGTACAGAATTTTGAGTCAAGGGGTCGCCAAACAAAATCTTACATCCTCCCAATACCTTGTGGGTCACATTCTTGAGTTGAAGACTCAAGGTGGGTTACCTGAACCAAACCCATTTAGGCGAGGGCAGCTGGACAGTTTCATTCACCTCAATGGCGCTCGTGCATACAAGCTATTGACTTCCATTTCCCCACTTGACTGTCCACTGATGGTGCTGTACCCACGAATTTAGCAGCTCCCGCCTTCAATGCGCAGCTATCTACCCCACCTCCCCAAATCATCGGCCAACCAAACTGTGGCAGATAAGACCACTGTACAAGTACGTGGTTCTTACAGCCGACAATGATGAAGACCTACCGCGACTACTTTGGCTAGTAAGAACAGATAGTTATCATGGCGGGTTACACGAAATCCCAAGTTCAACGACTAAGCCCGGAAGAAGCAGTTAGATGGCAGGTGTGCAGTCGATGTTCAACGTATGGATATGGAGGAGCGACATTTTCAGTTGTGTACTGAATGTCCCATCGTTCCTGGTTGGTAAGTACTTCCGCAAATCAAGTTACCCGGAGACCACCAACTGCATGTCATTTATGGACTCAGTTAAATCATGTGGCTAGCAGTTACCGATGGAGAGCCTCAATTAAAGATTAGCGTTTCTCCTGAGGTACACAACGTTTTTCCAATCATGCCATTTGTGCAGGTTTACTTGTCATCTCGCTGCCCATGAGCACCAATCGTGTCGAAGCAAAGCGGTTTAGCTTTTCGACTTGGTCGAGTTTCAGCAGCTCAGTGGCATCGATCTGATCTGGCTGGAAAGCTACTTCAAGCTATTACATTCACGTTGCTGACCAGGGCCAGTTGGATATCGAATGGAAGTGAATGAAATAAGCCATGCTCTCGGCCTTTGAAACTGTCTTCAAAGTTTTTCAGCTCTGGATGCCGTCAAGATCAGATCTTCGTGCTTCCAGGGAAGCCGCACCAGCAACTAGAGACCATGATAGCACACGCAGATCCTTCAAAGGCTGGAGAATCATGGGAATGAATGTCAGAGAACGGTGGTGAATCGTGAATGCCGAGATGTACAAGGCTGCAGGTAAGAGTCGCGCCCTGTTCCAGGTGATTTGATCCACCGGTCAAAACAAGACAGGTGTCAGCGAAACAATCCACAAAAAGATGAAGTGGCAATCCACTCGCTAAATCGTCGCCTTTAGCAATGGGCTCAACACTTCAAGGAGCAGTTAAGCTGGTCTCCTTCAACACAAACCGTAGAAGAACTCGAGTCTGAACGGAAAATCGACGTCAACAGAAATCCAACACAAAACATCTTTTTTGTAGGGCGACAAAACACCCGACCTTCATGGTCTGCACCCTGCACTTTCCAGAGGTGCTGAAATTCTAGCAACCCCTCTAACAACCTTGCTGTGAAGGATTTGAAACAGATCTGAAGGGCCTCTACCGCGAGTCGAATCTTCAAAAAGGGAGTAAGAACGTTATGCGAAGCACCTCAGTCTGATAGTCGCAACAAATAAGTGATCTCTTGCACTAGTTTGCGCCGGTTGTTGATTATCATAGGATATGCAGAGCAACTTCAAATATTTTACAGGTGGCCGATACCAACCTACCACAATCATTTCGAGGTGGATACACCTCCAGGCACTTATTCAGACGCTCTGTATAGAAACTGACAACGCCACTAACATCAGTTGACAGCCAAGTCTTCCAGCGTCACGAACCGTGCACAAGGGGAACCACATGGTACATATTACGAAAGCTGAGCCGCACCTACAGTACAATTATTCGTAATCTCCCTTATGCCGTCACGAAGAGACTGGACCTTACCATGTGGTGGTGGCTTGTGTACCTCTGCGACCCACTGAACTATACTGGGGGGTGTCGGTGCGACACTCAGTCTCTCATACCAGGTTGGTCAATGATTAGAGGTCTGACGAACAGTCTCCCGGACCTCCAGGTTGAGGTTTGGATCACGTTTGGCGACGTGTTCCGTAAAAATGGTCATGTACTTGCATTTCCAGCCCAACATTGCTGCCTTGCGGTTAGGCTTTTGAGCCAAAGGCTTTGGTTGAGGACCCTAATCGTCCTCCTGTCTAGGTGTGGGCGCCCTGGCAGTATCCCAGCCCTCGTACAACCATGACCTACACAACCAACAATACTCTCATGCCACATCGGCCGTCGCGTGGTGCCATCAGCCGGGTCGCCTTACTTGCTACATACAGCAGGGTGGGTAAGCGAAAACATGCTACTGCTGACGCCACCTTCCAACACTCACGTTTTCCGTCTATCACCACCCCCACCCAAATTATCCGCGCAGGTTCCAGCTCTAGGACTGGCTGTTTTGCTAGCCCTGCGCCACACTCAGCTGCAGCTTCTGCACGTCCGAGTTCAGTCACAACCCTAAACACTTCGAGGTCTGTTTTCAAACCCCGAAAACCTGTCTACTTAGCCACCTTCAATTTTCACACACTAAAGCAAGCAGGTCAACAGGTGGCTCTTGTGCGTACGCTGCAGTCCCTCTATATTGATGTACACTGTCTGTCAGAAACAAGGAGGCAGGACGCAAGTACTGTGATGGGAATGACTGCACCCTCGCTCTCTTCCAGGTTCCGGCTGCGCACGTCTGGTGATGCAGAGGCCGCCGCTGCAGCCGGATATGCTGGGGTGGGTATTGTATTGAGCGAACGAGCGGAGACGTCTCTGTTTCATTGGATACCCGTTGATAGTCGCCTCTGTGCGGTTCGTTTGGCAACATCTATGACAGGAAGTGAGGTTCTTCCCGCCTTGTTCATTGTGTCTGCTTACGCCCCAACTGAATGAAGCTCTAAATCTGCGAAGGACGATTTCTATGACGTTCCGCCAATCACAGACTGTTCTTTTGCAGTACGAATTTCCAGAACAGCGGGAATCGCTTGATAATGTGGTACCCACCAACAAACCAGCGCCGAATCCAAATCGACCACATCGCCATCAGTTATCGGTGTTGAGGGTGGATCCCCATCTGCCGCACCTTTTGGAAGACCAGCGTGGACTCC